TTTTTGCCTTCCATTACCTACTCCTAAGACTATCTAGAGGGGACCCCTGCAAGCATAGTTTTCCTCTCTCTGTGAAGGGGAGATTTCATGTTGCCCCTTGCCCCTAATGGTTAGGGTATAGGGTTGGGGCCGCCAGTGGGGGTCTGGCTAACACAAAGACCGAGACCTGCCAGTAGCTGTGCCTCCCTTTCTCATCGTCCCCCACCCTTCATCGAGTAGCAGCAGAGGCTATGGCCAACACTCTCCCACACACCACACACAACCCACCCGCGCTCACACTCACACCCGTGTTGGTCATAGACCCCGCTAATACCGATCAGGGGTATCCAGAGGACTATCACAGTCCGTTGGCACTACCTAAGCGATTTTGGAGGGCATAGCGAGACAACTAAAATCAACCACGCGATTTTCAGAACAGAGCGCAACTCCAGCATCGGGCGGTGTCACTCGGCGTTGAACACCCAGGGCTCAACGCTGCTACTAGGACAAGGTCCCTGGAAGAATTATAAGGCCAAGTCCTACCGTTTCCACATTGGTGATCGGGAAAATGAGATTAGGATGGTACCGTTTCCACATCCGTTTTTGGTAAGACCCTCTAATTTACCATGTGTAGTCGAGAACCTGAAGGATGATGGTAAATGGGACTGGCCTTCTGATCCAAGAATGCAAACAGCATGTGACGCCCAAACCTCACGCCCAGCGCGACTTCATGATCGGAGTGGGATGGGGCCCCGGACGTGCGCAAAAGGGGTGTGCCAAGGATTTTTGGGATTTTGGGGTGGAGTCCCAGCTCGGAACTGAGATCTCCGGTGACAAGTTTCAGGGGCAGGAGTGCAAGTGTCTTATGCTCAGAGTTGAGGCGATGACCGACCGTGCTGCCTAAGCCGGGGTGGGGTGCTACGGGTGTCTCTGTGGGAGTGCTCGTACCGCTGCCGATCGTTGCACGTCTCGAGGTCTGAGGGAGACGAGTCGGACTCTGGTTGCTCGGTCCTGGGATAGGCTCGTTCGTGACCCTCGCTTGCCGACGCTCGTCGGGCTGTCGACACTCTGAGCACGGCGGACGGGGCCAGAACTGGGCTATGGAATCCCAGGGGACCACGAGTAGCTGATGGTAGGGGAGGACAGTGTAGTAGGGAGGGAAGTTAGTGGTAATGGCAATGAAGCCTGGGGTTAGAAGGTATTGCTGGTTCCGGCTGTCGGGATAATCGGGAATCCGCGAGTCTTGGTTGATTGCCAGCTGGAAATCGCCCCTGCACAATCGCTCGTTTTCAGTCCGGCACGGGTACCCGAGAGGTCCCGAGTTCCGTAAGTGGCGCTGTTGTCGGATATGCTGCCGTCGGATCTGTTCCCTTTCCCAATATGCTCGTTATTCTGGGTTCCTCAGGCTTTCGCGATCGGTGATCCAGAAGGGAGAGTCTATCGCCATATCTCGTTCAGTCGAATTCCTGCAAACACATCTTCCTACGGGGCGGGATCGTGACTAGCTTTTGCGGGCGCACGTGTAGATGGCGCGTCCGTTGACGACCGTTGTCTGACACGTGCGTGCGCGAGGGCTAGCAGAACCGATCCTGATTTGCGCAAGCAGCCAAAAAGCAGTCCGCACCAGCTCAGTTCTTGCAGCTAATTCCACCTAAGCAAACACACTCAGCAATCCCCCTTTGCCCTGACCCGTATAGCAGATAGGCATTCCGTCATTCCTGTCGAGATCTGTCGGGCTAAGTCCGCCCGGCCTCGTGAGTGCGCATGTAAGCCGTATTCGTCAGATCGTACTAACACGGGGACTCGCGGGGCTAGTCCGTTGTGGATCGATCCATCAGCCAATCACTTATGCAGAAGGGGGGGGGGGTTGGGGGGGGGTCATGCAACGACCTTTCAGACCACTCTTGTTTGAGCAGAAAGCAGTTGCGTACCCAGACATACATCAAAGCATCATAACAGTACCTATTCCTTGCATCTACCAATCATCGGAGTGAGAATAGGCCGGCGCTGCGAGCGCGGGATGATTCAGAGTTGTATGCAAAACATTGGTTATCCCAGCATTACAAGATCATCAGACCCATCTCATCAAGCGAATGCAAAAAGTCAGAGA